CCGTTTTAATCTCAGTACAGCTAGGAATAGTTGGAAATGGAGTCGCCTCTTGGTCGGACTGGCCAGCGTGCGTATACGTGTACCCTCGGTGCATCCTTGTGCACCCTGGTGCATCCTTGGCATTGGACAGAACCCCCTCTCCTGGGTCGAGGGTGCCAGAGGGTTTAGCGGGCGACCCGCCGTTTGAATATCGAGAGCTTGCGCGTTGCAAGTCCGAGGTAAAGAGAGGGAGAAGGAGAAGAACGGCGCGGCGCGGAGGTTGAGCCCAACAGTCCGCGTGTTACCACCCGAGCTCGAGTAGGTTCGGAGAGCGAGCAGGACTTCCGGTGGGTCCGCGCGGTCGTCGGCGACTCCTTGCTTCCGGGCTGCGATGCCACCCTCGGTGCCTGCGGGGGCGTGAAACGCACCCCGTCGTCCCAGGCGCGTCGAGGCGACGCCGTCGCGGAGCGATCACCGAATCGGATCGCTCTGGAAAAGATTCTCTCCCTCGTTAGATCGTCGCGCAGATTTTCTTCAACGTGCTTTCCCGACGTCTCTTTTTCTCTCCTCCCGTTAAAGAGACCTCCACTCTCCAGCTATCGACGATCTTCGTGCTGTCGGTCAGTGGCGGTCACGTGTCCGCGGTTTTGTCGATCCTTGGGCGAGATCGTAATCGTGGCTTTTGATTGGCTAACGATCGCGGACTAAGGTTCGATTGATCGATCGAGGACTTTCGGTCAGGGCTGAACGGAAATCGCGACTTGTGATTGGGTAACAAATCGCGGAATAAGGTTCGATTGATCGATCGAGGACTTTCGGTCGCGGCTGAAAGAAAATCGCGACTTGTGATTGGATAACAAATCGCGGAATAAGGTTCGATTGATCGATCAAGGACTTTCGGTCGCGGCCGAACGGAAATCGCGAATTGTGATTGGGTAACGAGTCGTAGACCAAGGTTCGATCGGTTGATCAAGGCCGAATGAAAATCGCGACTTGTGATTGGGTAATAAATCGCGGATCAAGGTTCGATCGGTTGATTAAGGCCGAATGAAAATCGCGACTTGTGACTGGGTAATTAATCGCGGATCAAGGTTCGATCGGTTGATCAAGGCCGAATGAAAATCGCGACTTGTGATTGGGTAACGAATCGCGGGCTAAGGTTCGATCGGTTGATCAAGGATTCTCGATCTCGGCCGAACGGAAATCGCGACTTGTGATTGGATAACGAATCGCGGACTAAGGTTCGATTGATCGATCGAGGGCTCTTGATCGCGTAGTGGATCGTTTCGACGGATTTCAGGACGTTTTTCACTTGTTGCGAAGTTTTCTCGCTTGTTTAATGCGGTGGTTACGTCGGCTGGTCAATTTTATGACTTTACTCTAGGCCGGAAGGTCTTGAAGGTACATCAAAATTCGAGTTTAACTTCTTAATTAAAATCCTCGCACTAACCGTGATTAACATGAAATTTCATAACTGTGATCAGTCAGTCTCGGATTAGTGAAATTCGCCTTTCACCGATAAAAATTAGGATAACCGGTGATTAAAATCATATGTATAACCACCTGAAGTCTAATGAATAACTTTAATCTCGCGCTAAGTAATCCTCGATTAAGGAGCTTAACGCAAGTGTTGGTGTAATAGACCCTTGAACAAGGGCTACTTAAAGCACGATTAAAGTTAATCATCCGACTTCGGTTGGTTATCTGACAACAGATTTCAATTTTCAGTTAGCCCAATTTGTGTCGGTGCAACGCAGATCTCAGTAATTCGGGATGAATTAATTATTGTTAAAAAATCTCACGTTAATCACGGTCGGTGACGTTTCCGAAGTGACGGAACGCCTTTGATCGCAAAGAGAATTTGCATAACACCACGATCTCTCGAGTCATAAGAATTCATAAAAAAAAATCCTAAAATAAAGAATAGAATATATATAATATACAAAAATGTGTTTTTTGTCTTAGCAAAATAGAAAAATGAAGTAAGGACCAAATCCTGGTGACCTTTGGGTGAAATTCATTTAACGAAGGGTTTCGAAATCCTTTCCGCAATTATTATTAAAAATGCCTAATGTACTCGATACAAAGTGCCACGTAGAAGGTAACAACCTTCATCGGGCTTCCCTTTGAGAGAGCAATCACCCTAATTCCCGAGATTACGTAATCTTGTACTCGATAAAATACACGAGCACGTCTATTTGCAAGGCGGAAATTTGAGGGCCCGTCGTATAACCCGAGTCCTCTATTTTTCCTAATCACGTTGCACGACAAGTGCACAAAAGTTCACCGAGCCATGGAACGTCCGGCCGGCAAGTGAAGTGCGTCCTCGGGTTTGATGAAACGTTTCATTGCGCTCCGCCGGCCAGAATTGCGGTCTTAATTCGAGCTAGCCGATAGATCGATCGAAGGTGGACGAGCCGATCGCCGTTATCGGTAATCGGAAGTCCTTCATAGATAGGAAACTGGTCCAGGTTTTTATATCCCGGCAGAGCACACGTGCTGGTTCCCTCTGGAGGAGGCTCGAAGGGTTCTCACGTAAATCCTCGATCCGCGCCGTAATCCCGACCTATCCAAACCAGTCGCCGGTTTTTCCGAGATTTTTCTTCGACCAATAGCGACTAATCGCGGCCTTCTTACTCACCGATCAGCCGGAAAGCCCAGCCGCGATCTTCCGCTGATGGAAGACGCTTTTTCCTGGCGTTTGTCGCAATTCCGGATAGGACAAAAAAATTAAATAAAAAAAAAAGAACAGAAAATTAGCGGACCTACCAAACTCAATTATTCCTTGGATAGTTCCGTTGAGATTAGGAAAAAGAAAGAGAACGAATAAAAGGGCTATCCTTTCTCTTTCTTTCACTTGATGTCAGTCGATCGCCATTATGCGTCGTGTAACCGTTTCGAGTAAAAAGAAAGGGAAAGAGGGAAAAACAGCCCCTCTGGGTCGCAAAATTCGGCAGTCACCCCAAATACATTTTTTTAAAACTGTTTCCATTTTATATATATAACATAAACCGATTTTTGTTATGTTCTAAAGCTGGCGAAAACGAAAGAGAGCGAACAGAAGAATTATGCTTCCACTTTTTTCACTTACAATTAGTCCGGCGTCATAATGAGCTGCGGAATAATTTCAAGTAAAAAGAGATGGAAAGAGGGAAAAGAAGCTATACAAATAATACCTTTACAACCTGTAGATGTATATCATATCCTTTTTAGAGACCGGAGTCCGTTTCACAGCTCGTATGGTAATGTTTAATAGCGTTTCTTTTTTTTTCTGAAGGTAGAGGGGGTTATTCTTTTTCATTTTCTCTCTTCTTCTGTTATGCTGTCGCCACTTTGCTTTGCGCAACCGTTTCGCGTAAAAATCGAGGGAAAGAAGGAGAAAACGGACTCTTTGTTTCCTGTCTCCGGGTCCATAAATTTCATAATCGGATCAGTGTGAGGGGTGCATACATATTCACGTCCGTGAATAAAATGTAAAAATCGCCAAAAGCTCCCTCACGGTGGATATTGAATTCCGGAATTCGTAGAATTCGTTAGCATCGATTCGTCAAATTGAAAGTGCCGCGATAAATCGAAGAGTTGAGAGAATTGTCTCGGGCCGTGGAAATTCTTACGCGACAGTGGCGCCATTCGCGACGAACTAGAGAGATTTCACGCACCCGGTCGAATTCCCAATTTTTTCCACCCGCTTTCTCCGTGATTTGGAAAAGCTTTTAACACTCTCTGCTTTTCGGACTCGAATCCCGGGGGCGTAAGTTTTTTTTTCCCATTAATGTGATGAACATTTCTTCCCGGAGGTTTCCTAACGCGCGCGGATAAAGATTCCCTCGCGATTATCACCTTCCATTTTTAATACATTATTTTATTTACAATACTTATATACGTAATACATTAATAATTTAAATACCCGGTATGACTTTCCGAGGTTTAAATTGGCTTATTTAGTTACCCGTTTTCGAGTACGCGGTCTCCGTATTGTCAGGTCCTCTTAAATCGTAGAATTAACAAAATGGCTGCCTGAGCGTAGTCTGTTAAATTTAATTTTCTCCAAGAGAGCCCTTGAGTGTCTTACGACGGCGGAGTTATGAATTTCCGGACTTTTCGCACAATCTTTCACGAGGAATGAGAAACATTTTATTCAACGTGTAATTCCGTCCTCCCTTGTTTACTAAGTTTGATTACAGCCGCGTTAACAGCGTCCTTGATTTGTTGATCTTAAGGAAAATGGGGCGCATTTATCTCACGCTGAACTTTCCATTAAAATGATTAGATATTTTCCGCATTAAGTGTACGTCACTCGTTAAATACTTTCGACAACTTTTTGTCGATGCTTAATTATTATTTAAATTGGACTCGATTTAGCAAACACGTTAAACGAAAAACTCATTACCATCTAACGGAATTGTAAATAAATTTTTCATGAAAAATGAAATGAAACTGGGTGCACCAAATGATCTAAAACTTGAACACGTGATTATGGTCACCCTAAGAAAAAAACAGGCTGCCATGAAATTTAATTTTTCGAAAAAAAAAATCTCTTCATCGTTCTCGCCCTCGATGAATGCAGAATTTTTTACCAAAAATGAAACTTCACGAACACCGCGTTATTCCTTAGGTTCCCCATAATCACGCGTTAAAGTTTCATATAATTCGACTTCCCCAGTTTGGAGAGAAAAGTTATCTAAATAATTTCACATTTTCTTACGCATATATCACACTTTCATATCACCTTAACTCATCCAAACGTTATTCTGGGTGTAGCATGGAAGTCTAACTTTATTTACGAACAAAGCGTGAAGAACCGCGGCAAGAATCCGAGAGACGGACCGGAGAGTAATCTCGACCTTCCGTTGACCTTCCCTCGTGAAAACGTGATTCCAGGCGCCAGGTAGTTCGAATTTGAACTTTGGGATATCAGGGGGCCGCGGGGAGGGGGGAGCGCTGATGCCACCTAACGGGCCGCGGTCGGCGGGCTCGCCACTCTGCGCGTGACTCCCGGCGCTCGCGGACGCGTTCGCGCCCCCTGATTGGCGGACAGTTCGGCCGACCCCCGCAAATGTGGCTCTGTGCACGGTGAGCCGGGGTTACGGGGGCCGGGGGGCCCGCGGCGGTCGCGCCCGCGGCGAGGCCAGTGTCCGACTACCCTTGAGTCCCCGCACACTGTGCGCTCCCGGAGGCGGCGGCCCTCATGGGGCGGCGCAACCCCAGGCCCAGGCCCAGGCCCAGGCGCAGGCGCAGCACTCCTCGACCCCCGGCGGCGGCAGCGTCAGCGGCGACGACCCGGCCGGCATCGCCGAGGAGCCCATGGTGCACGTGGAGAGGCCTCTGCAGGGCGGCACGTGGATATGCTGCGTCCCTTGCTACTGGCTACGGCGCAGCAAGGCCGTGCACAAGGCTCTCCTCACTTTCGCCATGCTGCTCGTCACCAGTCTGCTCGTCACCAGCCCCGTCCTCTTCCTCATCACCACCCTGCCGGAGGGCGATCAGCCGCGTGACTGCGCACCACTGGTAAGCACTGTTTCTTATATCTCGAGACTGACTTTAACACTAGGTTTACGGGCGTCTTTTTATATACCTGTTTCTACGAGCAACTGTCAAATTGACGAGGAAACGAAAACACGGATTTCTTTTAAAAAATCGATTCTAATTTAAAAAATCGAAATTAATTTTTTCTCAATATTTAATACATACTTATTGGAAATGTTGATTTGGTGCGATGTGATTTTTTATTTGTTGCTATGAACGTACATTCTCAATAATCGCAGAATAGTGGAATACACGTTTTATACGCATAAACAGTGAATATATAATGTAAGGGTGAAAAATTAATTTTTGTTGTATATAATATATAATCAAATATTTTGACGTTTTGTATATATAGAATGACCCTTTCATCTTTCATCTTATCACCTTATCACCTTAGGCAGGGGGACGACTCGTGATCGAGTTTAACACATCGCCGGGAAGTTCCCCAATTTATTCAGCGGTGTTACGAAATACTTTCCGCCGTGAAAATATTTTTTTTTCTTTTCCTCACACGGGAGAGCGTTTTTCCAGAACCGAGGAAATGTCTTCCTCGTTTCCGTTTCGTATCGTAACAGGGACTCGCGTACACTGAAGCCGTACTTCAAGGCAAGGTTTCGAGGCAAATGTCAACCTTACTTCAGGTCAGGGCTTCAACCTTCGTTCCGACCTTTTTATCTGCCTTTCCGTGGGAATCCTCGTCTCGCCTATTTTAAGGTGATATTAAAGGGCCACTCTACATGTATATATAAAGTAAAACAATTTATTACTATCCTCAAAACTGGGGGCGCAGTATCCTTTAAAACTTCGGAAAGGGATTATGGACGCCCTAAGGAAGAACGCGATGCTCGTGAAATTTGAATTCTTGCGTCTCTCAATATTATTTTAATATTTTATTTTCTCGTTTTGATATATATAGAATGACGCTTTCATATCACATTGATATGAAAGGTATGTTGTATATATGTACCAAAAAGTAAAAAAAAAATTAATAAATATTTCGACTTTTTGGTACGCATATATCACACTTTCATATCACCTTAAGGGTCTATAGCGACCGATCTGTGATCGTTTGGAAAAAAATTTAATAAATATTTCGACTTTTTGGTACGCATATATCACACTTTCATATCACTTTATGGGTCTATAGCGTCCAATCTGTGATCGTTTGGAAAAAAATTTAATAAATATTTCGACTTTTTGGTACGCATATATCATACTTTCATATCACCTTAAGGGTCTATAGCGACCGATCTGTGATCGTAGAATCCGCCTATAGAAGGCTGTTTGGATAAGAGCATGGACGCAATATATTCTGACGATCGCAGGTGCTCCTTCGGTGATTTATGGCGCACCTTAGGCGCACATACATACTAGTATGTTGATGTGTGCGCGCTTTGTTGACGTATGGGGATTCCGCTCGCTGTAATTGACCGAAAGCTTCGCGGAAATTTCCCGCCAGGGGAAATTGACAACTTCCACGGGGAAGTTTGCCGGTCATTTGTCTTCCTACGCCGCCCTTGCCAAGGCGTCGACGAGTTTTTGGCAGTTCATGGGAAATTAGCCGTTTCATAATTTACGCCTTATCAGTCCTTCTTTACCGTAGGCAAAGCCTGATTTAAGCCTCTTCTCTCAACCTACGTCGCCCAAGTAAGAACTTTTTCCACCCGTCAACTTCTAATTTCGTCCTTGCACGTCCGACTGAATACGAATTAAGGCTAATTTTAGGCCTACTTTGAACTTGCGTAACTTAAGGTGATATGAAAGGGTCATTCCATTGGGTTGATGCATAAGTGATTGCGCACTTTTTCAAATATAAAAATGCGCGCAGAAATTAAATGCTTTAACATAATGTTATATGTTATTTTAAAGAGAGGTTTTTGCTCTGCAAGACAGTGTTTTAATATTTTTCTTAGATTTAATTTAATATCTATAAAACGTTAATATATTTATAAAACTTGTCTTTATAAAAGTTTTCATAAGAATTTCGTAGATGACATGGATACGAGCTGATAATATAATTGCACCCTCGAACCTCTTTAAAAAATCGACGTACTCGGTATTTCTATTATGCCGAGTTTCGTGATTCGACGGAAATTCATTTATATACCTTTATCGTCGGGGAACACGCAATGCCGGATAAAATAGTCGTTCCACGGAAAATGCATACTTGGCGTGCGTTATGCCGGATACCTTGTACGTATTAATCACGCAGAAATGATTTATAGATATTTACCGGAACAACTTGTTATACGTATTATGGGGAAAGTTGCCTAATTTGGACTGAGCCCCCTAAATTGAATCACTGCAATAAAACATAATTTAGAGGGTCTAGTTACGTATTCACTAAGGAAATTCAGGATCTTAAGGTGATATGAAACTGTGATATATATATATATACGTACCGAAAGATCAACATATTTATGAAACTTTTCTTCAAACTGGGTGCACCGAATTATCTGAAACCTTAACACGTGATTATGGAGGCTCTAAGGGAGAACCCGCTGCTCGTGAAATTTCATTTTCACGAAAAAAAATTTCCATTCATGTCGGAGAAGATCCAAAAAGGATACTTTTTTTTTCAATAATTTCCATAACACGTGTTAGTGTCCGATATCACCGAGAGATCATTTTATGACCGACTGTCACATGTCACCGAATCTCATTGTAGTCTATCACGTGAAATTAAAGGTAATCTTAACCCTTTCGCTACGAGGGGTGACTATAGTCACCGTACGTTTGGTCCAATATTGCCTGCACGGTCAGACGAATTTCGCCCATATGTCGAAAAGGCTCCGTGTTCAAAGGGTTAAAGAAGGAAGGAGGTTTACGGAAAAAGCGTATTTATATTAAATATCTCGACGGAAGAAATAGTTAAAATAAATAATCGCGTAAATTGTGTTAAAATTAATTGTGTAAAAAAAAAGTGCCGCTTAAATCGAGGGGGGGGGGTTAGATCGATCGGTATCGTTTGGTATCGTTTTTCACCTGATAGGAGTTACGGTATCGCGGAGTTATCTTCGTTCTCTCGAAAGACGCTCGAATTTCCCGTTCTTAGGAAATATATACAATCTCTCAGTGGTTCCATACATTTTGTATTTCAGGATGAAGCCTGCATCAGGGAGCAAGACGGGTCGGAGGGTGTTTGCGAGACAAAGGCCTGTTACGAGGCTTCGCGAAGGATGCTGGCATCCTTGAAGAGGGGAGTAGATCCCTGCAAGGACTTCTACCAATTCGCTTGCGGAGGTTTCCGGGACTGGAAACCGTATCAGCCCAGCTCGAGCTTCGGCATGTTGCAGACACAAGTGGACGAGGAAATTCAAAGTAAGTCGGACTTTATACGGATGATTTGCGGCGTTACTTTGGTAGACTCGAGGCATGAGCCAGTTATGACATGACCGACATTTATGAAATAAGAATTTATGGCAAGTTTAACGGGAGCTGTATTACATTTCCGTGACGTTACGATGATGTGAACGGCGCAAGAAATTATATGAAATGTAATTGTTAGGTTTTATAGGGATAAGGGAATGTGTACAGGGGCTCTGATCCTTTGCAGCAAATTTGTATCCTTTCCTTTGTCCTTTGTCACAAATTGCAGCAAAAAACGCATAGAAACGCCTGAGAGAGCGGGTACGTTTTGCAACTTTATTGGTTTATGTTCGTCTTTTGAGTAGAGTAACCCGCGAAGGATTCGGCAAAAATTGCGAAAATGCAATTGTTAATTATTATAGGTGTATGGGAAAATGTAAAGGGCCTGTTAATTCCGAAATTGTACCAAAAAGGTTCAGAAAAGCTTGCGAGAGTGCACTTTCGTCGGCTGCGTTCGCTATTGTTCTTTTTTTTTTAATAGAGTAACCCACAAAGGATTTGGAAAAATTGCGAAAATGCAATTGTTAATTATTATAGGTGTAGGGGGAAATGTAAAGGGCCTGTGTTAATTCCGAAATTGTACCAAAAAGGTACATAAAAGTTTGCGAGCGTGCACATTCCCCGGCTGTGTTCGCTATTGTTCTTTTTTTTTAGTAGAGTAACCCACAAAGGATTCGGTAAAATTGCGAAAATGCAATTGTTAATTATTATAGGTGTAGAGGAATATGTAAAGGGCCTGTTAATTCCGAAATTGTACCAAAAAAGCACAGAAAAGCTTGAGAGAGTGCACTTTCGCCGGCTGCGTTCGCTATTGTTCTTTTTTTTTGAGTAGAGTAACCCATAAAGGATTCAGAAAAATTGCGAAAATGCAATTGTTAATTATTATAGGTGTAGGGGAAAATGATACCGGGCCCGTTCGTTCTGAAATAACATTAGAAAGGTATTAGACGTTCACAGCGGGTCCGTGCAGGGTCTGCTACTTCCGAAATTGCACCGAAGAGGTATAGAAAAGCTTGATTGCGGGTATATTCGCCGCCTGCCTCCGTTTCTCTTCTTCTTCTTCTGAGTAGGGCAATTCCGGATCACGCAGAGTCGAAGCTCGCCGTTCTTCCGTGGCATTAGCAAATCTTGAGCGCCGGGCCGTTCGTTTCGCCGAGGTGAAATGGGTAAAATCAGGGAGAACGGAGGGTAGGATGGATCACGTGATCCCGTAAAATATCACGAGTCGTTTCTTCGCGCAAATAGCGCAGCTACGTTAATCAATTCCCGGGGCTGCAGAGAGCGGCCCTGCCAAGTGGGAAGGCGCCGCATTAAGGGGTGTTATTTCTGCAAATCGAGTACCTAGGTCGTAGGTTACCTTTTGCCCTGAGGGTCGATTGGAACGGGTCGTCCACTCGGCAGGATAAGGATATTTCCGGACGGGGGGAGGACCCTTTTAAAGTGGAAGCTTAAAGAACGGGCCGGCGCCATTGCGGCGCTTCCAGAGAGGAACGGAAGGAAGCCAACTAATAAAATTAAACCCCTGTCAAAATTGACCCCATCGGTCGTGTTATGGCAGAGTTCAATTGCGAAATATGGTAGGGAAAGGTGGCTTAAATGGTTTGTTCACTTTATGGATGTGAAATTTGCAACACTTCCTTCTTGGGGATGTTGCGAATGCATCGCCGGAAACTGCAGCGGACGCGTCTAGGGTGTAGAATATTATTGGAAAGCTTTGGGGGATTAATGGAACGTTTACTCATGTATGCTCTTTCGGGGTTTGGCTTACTTTGCTAAATGGTAGGCATTAAGAGAATAAATCGCGTATCCGGGGGTATTAGGTTTCGTATCCTTTTCCGGTACTCGGGATCCGTGGTAGAGGTTAAGGAAAGGAAACAATACGGTACTGAAATTTCATTTAGGAGGAAAAATTGTTTGAATGTACGTGCTCTTTTATAGCTTAAATTATTTTGGATAATTAAACATATTGGACAGTTGAGGATTAAATTGCGTATTCAGTGGTACTAGGTTTTGAGTCTTATATGCTAGTAGGTGGGGTTATTATCGTTAAAAAGAGGAAACAGTCGGTATCAAAGTTTCTTCTGGGAGGAAAGACCGTTTACATATGTGTTCTTTTAAACTTTTAATAACTTTTAATAACTAAAATACCAGGCGTTAGGGGTGTAAATCGCGTATCCCGTGGGATTAGGTCTTGAGCCCCCTTTCCGGTACTCAGGCTCCACGTGATCGTTAAAGGGACGAAGCAACCGATACCGAAGTTTCTTCCGAGGAGCGTTAAATCGCGGATCAACTCGGGGCTCTGAAGTAACGAGATTTACCGCGAGTTTGTGCTTTATGGGCGGCGATCATCGGCTCGACACTGCCGATTTCGCCGTTTAATCCGTCGAAGACTTGTGGTTTACGTCCATCGTGTCACCCTCTCCTAGACATCGATCTAATTTGAACGATCTACAAGAAACATTCGGCTGGCTTTACCTTTACGTCGATCTTTTACTCCGATTTGTCGTTATCAAGTCGCCTGACCATCCCATCGATTAACCTTTTCTCGGGTCATTATCCATCGATTGAGTACGAAAGATGCTATAAACATGATTCTTCCTCTGTTTGATGAATTTCCCCCGTTTAGTCGGTATTAATTAGTTTCAGAGAGACATACCTGTAACCAAGGCTCTGAAGGCACGTAATTGTTTCGCCCTCCTTTGGTCAGTTTTTCCCGTTTAATCGGTTCGCCCTCTTCGGTCAATTTTCCCCCTGGTCGGGTCTTCCTCTTTGACCAATCCTCTCCCCGTTCAGTCAATTCTCCCTCTTCGGGTCATTATCCATCGATTCAGTACTAAAGATGCTACAAACATGATTCTTCCTCTGTTTGATGAACTGCTCCCGTTTAGTCGGTATTAATTAATTTCAGAGAGACATTATCAAAATTCTCCCTCTTTGGGTCATTATCCATCGATTGAGTACTAAAGATGCTATAAAAATGATTTTTCCTCTGTTTGATGAACTTCTCCCGTTTAGTCGGTATTAATTAATATCAGAGAGACATTGCCAAGGCACCGGAGGCACGTAATTGTTTCGCCCTCCTTTGGTCAGTTCTTCCCGTTTAATCGATTCGCCCTCTTCGGTCAATTTTCCCCCTGGTCGGGTCTTCCTCTTTGATCAGTTCTCTCCCCGTCCGGTCAATTCTCCTTCTTTGGGTCATTATCCATCGATTGAGTACTAAAGATGCTACAAACATGATTCTTCCTCTGTTTGATGAATTTTCCCCGTTTAGTCGGTATTCATTAATTTCAGAGAGACATTGCCAAGGCCCCGGAGGCGCGTAATTGTTTCGCCTTTCTTTGGTCAGTTCTTCCCGTTTAATCGGTTCGCCCTCTTCGGTCAATTTCCCCCCTGATCGGGTCTTCCTCTTTGATCAATCCTCCGGTCAATTCTCCCTCTTTGGTCAATTCTCTCTCAGGTCGGCCCTTTGACGAGTCTCCCCCTCGGTCAGTTCCCGTGTGTTATCTCTACCTCTGGTCGATTCCGTCGATCGATCCTCCGTCAAGTGATCGAGTACGATCACCTTCCGCGTTCTAATCCCGAAAATGGAAACCCGTCCGAAGGTATCGACAATGTAATCGGCTGTGTACGTCTGTCTTTAGTTAGGCGGGACGACGTCGGCGAAGCCTTAGACCGGGAGATTTACGTAAGGAGAAAAACGGGTTACAACCCTTTCGTGCAAACTCGATTAATCCCCTGGCCTTTTTAATGGGTCAAGTTCGCCCAGAGCCGCAACTACGACTACTCGTGGCGATACCCGCCACGACGGCGATAAAGACGATAAAGGGTGACAACGATGACTACGAGTGTCGGGCCGACGACAACGATCCATCTTTCCTAAGCCTCTTATCACGCTCGAGTTGACGGACCAAGCATAGTGACCCGTGATTACGCTACGTACTCGACACGTCGTAGCTCCTCCATTTTTTTTTTTTATTCAACCTCGTCTTCTAGGATTCTTCGAGCATCCGATTTTTTAGCATCCATCTCGTTTATCCTCTGATATTACTCTGAGAAAAAATGATCACTCGACTGAGACGATATGTTGTGACGTTATCTTTAATGACATAAGTCTCAAACAATATCCTGGCAATTAATGTTCCGACCCTCTGGTGAGGTTGCGAATGAATTATCTGAAAATCGGGTCTCTGTCTCGTACTCGCTCTCAACAGCAATGACATTTTTTGGCGCCAGGCCCTCCAAAGGGCCAATCCGTCGGGGCTCGAAATTTCAGTCGGTTCACCTTGAATATTAATCATATGCAAGAGAACTTTATACAAAAGTTGTGGATCTGTCGAAAAAAAAAAATGCAAGAATTGAAAAAATATACAAAAAAATATGCAGAATATTAATCATATGCAAGAGAGCTTTATACAAAATTTGTAGATCTGAAAAAAAAAAAATATGCGCATCGGTTTTCGACAAACTATATCGTGCACTTTTCCGCGTGCGCTGCACGTGGGATTGCACTTTGAAGATCAACAGCAACAAAACTTTTTCGGCGTCAGGCCCTTCAAAGGGCCAATCCGTCGGGCTCGAAATTTCATTCGTTTCACCTTGCAGAATATTAATCATATGCAAGAGAGCTTTATACAAAATTTGTGGATCTGTTAAAAAAAAAATATGCGCATCGGTTTTCGACAAACTATATCGTGCACTTTTCCGCGTGGGATTGCACTTTGAAGATCAACAGCAACAAAACTTTTTTGGCGTCAGGCCCTTCAAAGGGCCAATCCGTCGGGGCTCGAAATTTCATTCGTTTCACCTTGCAGAATATTAATCATATGCAAGAGAGCTTTATGCAAAAGTTGTGGATCTGTTAAAAAAAAGAAAAAAAAAAATGCGCATCGGTTTTCGACAAACTATATCGTGCACTTTTCCGCGTGGGATTGCACTTCGAAGATCGACAAGTG